ATGGCATGTGAATCCATTTGGCTTCCTGTGAAGGTCTTGTGCTGCTTCAACTCATGGGAAAAAGAAAGGCAAGTCAGCACGGATGAAACAGACAAAATTTATTTATTTATTTATTTATTTATTTTCCATGTAACAACTTTTATTGGTCAGATCTGGGAAAGACAAAATTTATATAAGAGGCAGTTTCACCCAATAACAACCTGCTCTTGTGGTAACTAATGCAGTCCCTTGAGAATTAACCTAGTTCTATGAAAAATCCTCTCTTAAGGGCCCTTCCTTCTCCCAGCACCCTTACAATGAGAATCAAGATTCTACCTCATAAGCTTTGGGGAGACATATTCATACAACAGCAGTCTGTTTATACCATTGAATTCTTGTCCATTTCCAGAGATTTCAAAAGAAATTCCTAATTGAGAGGATCTCTAACCTAGCTCCAGTGATGAAAGTTTTGTCTGTGTTTCGGTATTTCCTTTAATGTGGAATACCAATTAGACTTGAAGTTGCTCTTGTATGTATAGGGCCAAGGGTGGTTCCATGACTAGGTCCTACTCCGTGACATGTATTTAAATTCCAGAATCCCCAAAAAACTTGATGAAAGGGTCGATTGGTGCTAGAAGATAGATCTTATGCTTCACTAGCATGTACATGGGTACCTGAGTCTCAGCTCTGGCAGTCTGGACAGGCAATGCCAAATTAATTCAGTCATCAACTAATGTTTCAATCAGTCAGGCAAACTGGACACTTGTAATAAGTCAGGTGCTGTGCTATCTGTTAAACATACATAAATAAAACATGATTTCCTTCGTCAAGAAAGTAAAAAACTGGTGGTTTTAATTGTTCTGTTAAAAATTTTTCTAAAAATTCTTCTTCATATCTATGCTAACAAAGTGAGACTAATTGCTTTTTCAACTATGACTTATATAAAGTTGACACACTCCATCCTGTTCAAGGAGAGCCCCTCTGTAGATACTTCCTGAGTTCATCTGCTGACCAATGGAGCTCCCATTTCTTTCCTCCACTCAGTAGTGGGTCTGGCAGGGATTTTGGCTTGAGCATTGTCAGTCTGTTCAGGAGATAACAACAAAAAAACCATAAACTGGGTGGCTTAGAAACAATAGAAATTTAATTCTCACATTTTTGGAGGTTAGGAGTCCAAGCTCAAGGCACCAGGAAATTTGGTGTCCAATGAAGGCCTGCTTTCTCATAGATGGTATCTTCTCATTGTGTCCCAGATGGCGACAGGGGCTACCTGGCTCTCTGGGATCTCTTTGATAAGGGCACTAATCTCATTCATAAGGGCTCCATCCTCATGACCTCAAAACTTCCCCAAATCCCCACTCACTAATGCTATAACATTAGTGATTAGGTTTCAACATATTAATTTTGGGAGTATACAAGCATACACCATCATTTGTTATAAAATTTGTATTCTATTACTTCCTCTTATATCTAAAGTCCCAGGAATACTATCACAACATTAATCTCTAATCTCACCTTCCTACATTTTTCTAGAAGGTGAAGCGGTGAAAGTCTGCAAGACTTACAGCTATATGGGGCTACAGGAGGGTTTAGATACATGCTTTCAAAGATCAATATTAGCTGCCACCTTTGATCACTTGCCAAGTCCTTTCAGCTTTCCCTCCTAAATACTACTCTAATAGGTCCACTTCTCTACATCCCCACTAGAACTACATCTAGGCTCTGCCACTTGTTACATGAATTACTTCTGGCCTCCTAATTGGTCTCTCAGCACCTAAGTTTGCCTCCTTTCAACTCTGCATTTATAGTGGTCCAGTCTGCTCATGTTACTCCTCTGCTTACAACAATCACTGATTTCAGGATGAAAATGAGACTCCTTCGCCTGCTTTGCAAACAACTTCCTGGAGTTATTCGACTGCTTCACTTCTCCAACATTCTTCACTCACTACAGTCCAGTTCTACTGGATAAGTTACATAAGCAACGCATGCTCTTTTGCATCCCTAGAACTCTGCATATACTGTGTTCTTCCTTTGAATGGTCTTCACCCTCCATCTTCCTTATTCCTGCTCATCCTTCAGTTCTGTTTAGATGCCATGTCCTTTGGAGGTGCTCTCTGAACCCCAAGACATAGTGAAGTTCTCCCCTAATATCCCCAGAGCACCTTGCATGTATATTTTAAGAGCCTCCACATTGAGGTAGAAAGTCTTGGCTTTAAATTCAGCCCATTTCCTTGCCACGTGACCTTGAGTCAGCTATCCCTTTTAAGCGGTTTGCTCAACTGTAAAAATGGGAATAATGGTAGTAGCTACCTCTTACTGCTGCTCTGTAAATTAAATAAAGTGAGATACATATGAATTCCTATGTTTCATATGAGTGAAACAGCAGACATTCAATGAAGGCTTTTAAAAATTATTGAGATAAGGTCTGCAAACCATCAGCATTTAGACAATGTGTCTCATTTGCCAGAGTGGCCTTAGTACCTAGATCTGGACTGAAAATTTAATATATGGTCTATAAATACTTGCATCACTCTTGCACTTCACTGATCGGGGTAATCCTTGGGTAATCATGGGCCAGGTGGAAGAGCCCGACATCCTGTGGCCATATTTAGTACTACAGTTTTTTTCGCCTTGGAGCAGGTACAAGCTCTTCCTGGCAGCTAGCCTGGATACAGCAGGATGAAAGGTGTGTGTGTGCTTTTAATGTTTTACATTTTTCCCATGCTACACCTGTCTTATTTAGTATCTTCGCGGATTCATCCTTTCTGATCAAAGAGCAGAAGATGTGCTCAGAGCCTCTACAGTATTTTATAAGCAAGAGAGTTTCTCTCCTTTCCACACAGGCTGGGCGTATCAGTTGAGGGCATTCCATGCACTCCAAAGCCGTTATGTTACTTCTGAAAGTTAAATGTTGAAGAAACTGGGAGGTAGTGTTGTAATGGAATGAATACCAATCAGAAAACCAGATTTTTCTAGTCTTTGTTCTGTCACATCCCATCTCTCTCTGAGGGAGGTCATTTACTACACCTGGGTTTGATTCTTATGCCATTAAGAGGATGGGCTAGCTCATTTCCAAGGTGCCCTCTGGCTTCAGACATCTGTGAGCCACCCATGGGTTGTTTTGTAGGCTTTCTACCGTGTGTCCTGGCCAGCTGTGTTTAGAGGACTCATCACTGCTCCCGGCCCTGAGAGCACTCTTTTTTTTTTTTGGTACCGGGGATTGAACTCGGGATGTTGCACTTGCACAGCAGGCGCCGGAACCACTGAGCTAAATCCCCGGCCCCCTGAGAGCACTCTTAATGTAGACCAGTCAACCATTTCTACTACTCTTTGATTGCCTGTCTTTTGGAGCTAATATTTGTGTCATTCTACGGGAGCACATCAATCTCTTTGGTTCATTTTATATCCAACAAAAAATAGAAGTCATTGGGTTAAACTGTAAGAAAATGTATTCATTGATAAATGATACAACTCAACCTGTATCTCTCAACAAGCTCATGTCTTGTTCTCTTTTGGTCTATTCAGATATGTGTTGCTGGGATCATTTGTGTGTGTGTGTGTGTGTGTGTGTGGTGTGAGGACTGCACCAGGGTCTTATGCATACTTGGCATGCACCCTGCCACTGAGTCACACACACCCAGCTCTCCTCTGACTTGTCTTTTCCTTACCCTGTGGCTGCAGTCTTGATCATGATGGCCACCATCAGGAATGTCAAGCTATTCATGCTGGCATTCAACGGAGCCTCAAGTAATATCTAGTTTTCCTTTTCCCTTTTTTTCCCCTTCAGTACTCAGGATTGAACCCAGGGAGCACTGAACTACATCCCCAGGCCTTTTTGTTGTTATTTCCAGACAGGATCTCACTAAGTATCCAGGTAGGCCTTGAACTTGCAATCCTCCTGCCCCAGCCTCCTGAGTGGCTGGGATTATAGGCATGCACCCCCATGCTGAGCAGCATCTACTTTTGAAAGGATATGAACACATATGTCCCAATTCCAAGAAGTTTACAACTCACAAGGTGACTGAGCTATCAGCACAAAGGAATGAAACCTAATCAGCTTGGGGATAATGGTGAGTTATCCACGGAAGAAGGGACCAAGGCGAGGAGGATCTTAAGGATCTTAAGGATCTTAAGGTGGATAAGAATGTATCCAGAACTGTATTACTATTTTAAATAATAATGGCTTTTTCTAATCAGATGCATAAGAATTAGAGGGCATTTGATGCTGACCCAACTTATTTCTAAATTTGAATTTAGACACTGTAATGTCCAGTTTGAGGAGTTGAGGGTCCCAGTGTGGACCTGATGGATGCAAGTACTCCCAGGAGTCTGTGGTAGACCCTGGGACTGTTCAGCCAGCCCACACCAAGCCTGCAGTTCTTCCAGTGTACACCACTGAAATCCAGGGAATCCTTCTGGGTCTTATTTCTGAGGAATAGGAGGGCAGGACTGAGGCCTTAAGTAGAAGGCAGAATGAATAACTTGGGGTGCTCTTAGTCTAGGTAAGAAGACAGGAAGACTGAGGGCATAAAATGTCAGGCTATGTTACGCTATTTTGAGTACAGTGAAAGCTCTTAACTAATCTCTTTTCGTTGAGCTCCAACTTCTCTGTAAAACTTACTGGCAGATACTGCAGCAGATGGAATGTTTTCAGCCCTTTCTAGAACTCTGGACCATTTCTGCTCTGTTATCACATAAATTGAACCACATGTAAGTCAAAGACATGAATTTATATTACCTTTTCCTCCACCAAATTTGAACATGTTTAAAGCCTTAACACCTCATCTATACTTGTCTTCTGCTGCACCTCCTTACCGCACAGATAACTAGAGTCTCTTACCAGGTTACCTAGTTACCACCTTCTTATGTACAATAGCTGTCCTCTTCAGTGTCTTAATCCACAGCGGGCCTGCAGCATTAGGAATCCTTCCAGACTGGGTCCCTACTGCCTACTGAGAATGGGGAATAGAGGCCCTAGAAAATCGATTCCAGTCTGACTCATTGAGGAAAAACTGCAAGAGCAACTTTGATAATTTCTTTATTTATAGACATTTCAGAACCATTTAAATCAACAGACAATGACTTTTTTTTTAGACATAACATACCATGTTTATCTTGAGGTACACATTGGGCACATTAGATAATTCTCTGGAAAGCAACACAACTGTTAATTTGTAGTTAACAACTCAAGTTTTCGAAGTGGAGAAATTATAAAGATGGTTACAACATTCTTTGAAAAGAATACACCATTTCTATTTAAGGAGAGCTACCGAAATTCTTGAGTTCAATTTTGAGATTTAACTGAAACAGTATTTTAAATGGAACTTAGTTATGAAAATGGGAGAAAAAGCTTAGAGCTAAGAAATTATCTGAACCCTACTACATGAGATTGTAAACAAAGGAAATTTGCCATCTGATAAGCTCTATTATAAAACTCATAGCCTAGAAATTAGAGCAGCAGAATTACAGAAAACACTTATATATAATTTTAATTGAAATCATGTTTAATCCTTTTCCCTGGCTATCACAATGAGACAAATTTTAAAACACCAAGTTTTTTGAAGACTAATGATGTGATTTAACATGATGTGGCCATAAGAATCCCACTGTATTATAACTCCATTGTATCAAAGTCCTACTTTCCATCATTTGCACTCTGGGCTTTTTATTCTTGTATTAGCCTTTAGATTACTAGAGAAATAGTGGGAGTTGATGGAATGGACATGTTTCTGAAAGCCTGTGTGTCCAAATGCAGACTGAAATTTTCTAGTAGGCTGAAACTAAAATTTCCTTTGAACAGTTTGCTAGGTTCTTTGGAGAACTAGTTTGTATTCCAGTTTGTTATTAAAATGTTAATTTCATGCTTGTTAGGCATGAGGAGCAGCGACTTGCTACCCTAAGTGTTTGGAAGATGAGGGACTCCCTATCCATTCACACCCATGCCCTGAACTTCTCAGGGAGGTGACCAGGGATGTGCAGGTTGTCCTGGAATGTGGGTGAGGGGTCTGAAGTCAGCTGGGATGGACTGTCATATATTTCCCATGAGATTGTTGCATTTCTGCAGGAGACAAGAATAAACACTGCAATTTAGCCAAATGGGCAGTTTGCTACAACTTCATAAACTTGAATGGTGTATGTGGGTTGAGAGAGTGTAAGTGTACATTTCACAGTTCATAAAGTCGAGCAGCTCAACTTAAGGAAGGGAGAACTTGCAGGCATTTACAAGATGAGAAGGAGGAATGGATCTGTGAGTGTTGAGTTCTCCCTCTGAGTTGGGTCCGCATTATACATTCGAGCTGCTTGGCTTGGTTTAATGCTGTACTTTTTTTCTGATGGGAGCCAGGAAGATGATTTTAGCCATGAATTTATGGATCCAAGAAAAGGTCCTGTTCAGACAGACCCTTTTCCCCAAGAACCACAGTCACTCTTCTGACTATGGGGAGCCTGCCAGAAAAGAAGATGCACTCATGCTTGACCTGGTTGGCTAGAAAAGCTGTCTGTGGGGAGTTCTGCACATTCCTTTCCACCGAGAAGTCGCAGTTCCCAGAAAGGAAGGGCTGTTTCCTTCTTACTCTTGTGCTGCATTTCTCAACATGATTCTCTGTAGCTACGGATGCCTTGGCTAGTCAAGTCCTCCACAGGCAGGTGCTCAGCTTGAGAATGGTGATTATCTTTATTGGTGGCATTTTAGAAATGCCAGAAGATACTTATAAAAATTAAACATTTTCCAAGTCAGTAAAAGAAAATATTAGGCAAAAGCGAAAGACACTTTCAGCCTCCAACCTATGCTGGGTACTAATGGTCTCAGGGTGTTTGTTTTATGCCCTTAATGGGGCTGCCATTGCTTCTACCTGTGGATGCCTTAAAGATGGGGTACACTTCAAACTCCATACATCCAGCTGCCCAGAGGAGCTCATGACGCTTTTACCCACACATATACGGTGTCAGCAACTGTGAATTTAAATATGAATGATGTGAGTTTTAAGAAGGCAGGGCCTGAATCTTTGGTCAAGACAAGCACCATTGACAAAAGGTGCTCAGTGAATGTACAATGCACACACAAGTCAAGGCCAGTCTGCCTTCAAGGAGTCTCAAGGTCACCAGTCAATATAAACATGGCATAAGTAGGCTGAGACCAAAGCAAACACATGAACAAAAAGAAAACAACTCTCTTTTGTGTAAGGTTTCTGCAACAGAAAAAAAGATAAAAGGAGTCAGTTGCTTATGTCGGCAACTTTCCCAGTAAATCCAAACCAGCCCAGTTCCTTGCTTCTGAGTTGAAAACTACATCTAAGTGCTAGGTACTTCAAAACTGATGGAGCCAGGGCTTGCCACTGAACATGTGCAGCTTTTCAACTGCACCTTGTCTGTTTGATTCAAAGAGAAGTTCTGAAGGGGTAATTCACTGAGGAGTTAAGTCTCTCTCACAGGAATTGCATGGGGATTGGGGTGTGGGAGGGCAGTGCTGGACACTTCTTCACAGATAAGTCAGTTACTTCTAAAGAGGCCTCCAGGTGACAATTTTACAGGCTTTCTTTTTACCTGGAGTATTAGTATTTACACTATGGGGTGCATGTTAAGAGCAAAAAAAAGAAAAAAATCAAAACTTTTTTCTTCAAAAGATCTACGATGGAAAATTCTAACAGGTATCCATTTACTTCAACTCTAAACCATGACTTGAGTTAAAAACAGCTTTCTAATGCCAAGAAATAAAGACATATTTCACAGGGGTACCAACCCAGACTGCTGGGTCTTGTCTTTAAATCTGTTTATTTTGACGAGCAGGAAGAGAAGATCATAAAATAACGCAATTCTACAAGTCATGCTGACACCTTGTGGCTGATCTACTCCACTCAGGAGGCCACAGTGTGTATCTTGGTCACAGGCAGCATATTCAGAATCTGAGGACAGACTCAGGAGCTGTTTGGAGGATGCCTTGTTCAGAGAACTAAGAATTTTCTAAGGTTCATATTCCTTCAAGAAGTCAAGAATAGAACGATGTCATTATTTTTTGAATATTTAACCATATTTAGCAAAAATTCTCACAATACAGAACTGGAATTCTCCCAAGAGAAGTATAGCAGTGATGTAATTTCCTTATAAGAGAGGAAAGAAAAGCTTATGAAATTAACAAGTACTCTGATTGCTGTTTTAGGAATCACCCAGCCAATGGAGCACTTCCACCAGGAGAAGAACAGTGCGTCTGATTTAGGAGCTCTCTTAAAGCAAGAAGCACGTTACAAACGCCTCACACACACTAACACATGCTCCTCAGACTCTACAGGAAAAGACCCGGAAGCTGAGAACTATCATTCAAGACAACCTAATTTCTCCAGATGTCGGCATGAATATGCAAAAATCAGCCCTATCATGGGCTGAAAGCCACACAGAAGTCTTCAGTTCAGATGCTTTTCTGGTCCCTTCCAGTGTTTCAGGGATGAATCCTTGTAAGACTGAGCTTCCAAGTTCAGGTTTCTAAGAATCTTTGGAATCATTCTGTCCACTGTTTCTTAGAGAATCAGCTTAGTTTACGGTCCCCAAACCTCAATGGATACTTGAAAGTGAAGATACTATCTGAAATATCTGATTCAAAATTATGTTTAAAACATAATATACAAGTGTGTATTGTGTAAATATACACACACAGCCCCCTTATGTATATTTCATTTTTTTTCTTGCTCAATAAAATCTAGCAGCAGTTAGATCAATTATTGTGGTCATGATTTTATTACTTCTAAGGAAATCATATATCCTTTATCAACAAATGACTTTAGGAAAACCCCTTTTAATAAAAAGATCCCCACCAAGGATATAACATTAAAGTGTCATTTCATATCATTAACATTTTCAGGCACAAGAGTAAAACAATTAGCATTAAGCAATCTAAATGACAGAGCACAGAGTATAGTTAATTATCTAATGTGAACTTCTCCCAAAGAAGAGAATTGCTCAAAAATGTTTTATCTTTTTCTTTTCCTGCCTTCTTTCTTCCCTTCTTTTCTTTTTTTTAAAGATTGTGATGTCTTTCAGCTTTGGCTATTTTGTAATAAATATTACACCTTCTCAAATAAACCTACTGGGGTAAGAATGAGTTCTCCACATATGCCTGTTTTTGTTCTTTAGCAGCTGTTGAGTGTTGAGTGACGTACAAGGCACACCTCTAAGTGTTCTGTACAGCATCTTTATTGATGTACAAAAGAGCCTGTTCATTCAAAAATGTAATCTGCATAGTAAGTTTCTCTTATCCCTATTTACAGAGAAGGTTTTAGTGCAAAAACATGAAATCGTGTCCCAGCCCACCCCATCTAGCATGCACATTTATCAGTTTTGTTCCATGCTAGCTGGGGTTATTTGGCTATATTTTGGGCCTCCAGCCATTAATGAATTGCCTTATTTTCTTCACTTGAAGTTTGCTTAATTTGAAATCCTCTGAGAGGATTTCTTCTGTTAGTTGAACAAGCAAATTCCCATCAATCTTTTCAGTGACGAAGAAGGATATGACATCTTCGGACAAACCAATGAACCGTAGTGACTTGGACACTTCTTCTATAGAGAGTCCTGACAGGTCCGCAGGTGGCTGCCATGGGGAACCATCGCCACAAGACCTGGGGACTAGCTGGAGGTGGAGCGGAGAGGAGAAAGGGTAAGAGACAGAGAAGATGTCCTGCACGCCCTTCTTACCAAAATACTGGTCCTCGGAGAGGTCTGGTGACCGTGCCTTGGGGTCCTCCTCAGCACCATCAATTCTCAGAGGCAAAGGAGACGTTTCTGCGGCCGCTTCCTGTTCCACTGGCTTTGGGGCCCTGGGCGGTAAGGCAGGGCAAGAGACACTCTGCTTGGTCACGCTTGCCGCAGGGGCGCTCTCTGTGCTCCCCAGCGAGTAGCTGGCTGACTTGGGGCAACCTGAGGCGCCGCCACTAGATTCTGCAGTGACTGTGGTGAGGGCACCGCTCAGGAGCTCTGAGCCATCAAAATCGAAAGGTGCCGGGCAGTTTCTCTTTGGTGTGCCGGGTGTCTTTTGTCTGGGGTAACTGTAACTCCTGCTTGGATCCAGCAGGAAGTCACTCCTGGTCTGGGTCTCCGATGCTCCCGAATAATGGTTAGGCCACGAGAGCCGGGAGGACAGAGCTTCCGCGGAAGGACTTCCGCATGGGGACTTCAGGTCCACAGAGTCGGCTTTCACTCGGTTGCACGGATAGCAGGAAACCGGAGCACTTTCAGAAGGGCTTGTGTCACTTTTAGTAACGCTGCTTAAAAAGCAAACACACACACAGAAGGGGAAATTACTAGGGGGAAGAAAAGCCCAAGCCAAATTCCCTAGCCTTTTATTATCCACAATTTTAAGCAGAAAAGTGCACCTAGGAAGAAAAAATATATTTCTTATCATGACTTCAATAAAGTGCCTGCTAACATCATTTTTAAATAAAGAATCTTTAATAATAAAATACATTGGTCATTACGGAGATAGTACCTAATGATTGAAAATGCTAGAGTAGAGAGAAAAATATTTTTTAAGCTAATAAGTAAATCATTTTTATTACGTGCCTGGATTTTTATATTGAGAAAAATTCTCGAAGCATGCTTTGGGCTTTGTACCAACAGGCGCTGAGATTGAGTGGTAAACAGGTACTACATGCTTGGCATCCGTGCAGGACAACGACACAACCACAACATCACCACTCATGACTCTATTTCCACCCAAAAGTCTCAGACTCGAAGCAATGCTTTCAGTTAAGACGCACATCCTTGTCTTTGTATCTGTACAACTAAGTTATATTAGTATAAGAATCTTGATGTCCAGAGAATTAAAAATAATCCTGCAAAGAGAACTTTCAACTTCAAGAGCACATGTGGTATGGTGCATTCAGCCTGGGGGCTGTACTGTTAAGAGTCACAGTGACACTGCAGTGTGCTCAAAGGTGGGTGACCAGGTTAGGAGGCAGCAGGTAGCAATGTCTGCAGGAACAGCCTACACAAATGATGCTCTTGTGGAGAAGACAAGACTTACTTCACAGCAAGTTCTCATTTTCAAGAGAGAAGTGGGGTGGATCTATTTTGTTTCTCTGGACATAAATAGCTGAAAGTTACAGAGATGGATTTTAACCTGATGATATGAAAGATTTTAAAAAAACAAACACTGGGCCCTTGCTAACAATGGAATGGACCACACTGCAAAGGAAGTGAACTCGAAGCACGCAGGAAGGCTCCAGACAGGAGGGGATGATGGGATGACGGGATGACTGCCTGCCTACCTGCCAGTGACAGCCAAGAGGGGTTCCTGACAGGGCGGAAATGCAGAGCAGAGTCGAGGGAGCCCTTCCAGGAAAGGTCCTGGTGGAGGTGCTGTCTGCTTATGTCAAAGTCAAAGTGGAAAGAACTAGATGCCGGCTTGTGAGAACAGTGGGCCTGGGTCACTGAATTTCTCACTGACCCCCGAGACATCTTTTTTTCCCAAGACTTTGCTCTTCCATCCAAGGTCAAACCCAATGGGAGCGCTGCCATGTTCTTCCAGCAAAAATGATTTTAAAAGATAAAAGCCATTTCTTTTCCCACCACCCTGCCTAGGTGATGCTCCCAAGGGCCCGAGAACTGGCTGATAAGAAGACGAGGTGGCGGAGGGCCTGGCAGTAAGACTTACATGTTGTGCAGCCCTGAAGAATAGTAGGACAAGGTGGGGCTGGGAGAGCGAGTCTGTGGCCGCGCTGGCTTGACTGTGCGAGGAGGGATGGAGGGACTTGTGGACAAAGGCTTTGCGCTTCGGGGTGGAACAGGTGGGGCGTTCAGGAGCCGGCATTCTTCCCTGACCTGGCGCAGAAAAGAACACTCCAGGTTAGCAGCAGACTGACAAGGCCCCTGCGGGCCAGCTCCATCCTGCAGGGTCAAGCAACTACTGTTAAAGAATAGCAGCAGGGGTGTGAGCAAAGGGAGGAGAAGATGGGAGCAAACAAGAAAGATGGTAGACAGAGAGGCTGCTAGGGATCAGATGAGACGCCTGTCACATAGTTGCTGGGAACAGACATATTGAAAGAAACTGCCTGGCAAGTGTCAGTTGCCTGGAAATATAGCAAGTCATGTGCAATATGGCAAGCAAAAGAACTTGTGCAGTGTGAGGGTGTACAGAACAGACGTACTGAGGACGGAAGGTAATCAGGATGCTGACAGAGGGTTATACTCTCCTGATACGTTTTATTTACCCACTCTTTTAATGGGGTTTAGTTTGACTCCAACTGGGAATGGTACTTTCTCCAGGCTTAATGGTCCTTCTAAAGTTATGTTTGGGGCTCCTCCAACATACATGTGCACATGAATCACCTGAAGAGCTTGTTAAAATTCAGATTCTAATACTGGAGACCTAGGGCAGGGCCTGAGAACCTACATTTGTCATGAACTCCCAGGTATAATGCATGCTGCTAGACCAGGGACCACACTTTGAGCAACAGGGTTGCAGAGGAAGCAGCGAGGCAGCTCTCCAATTCTAAAATGCAAGACTTTTAATAAGAGCTGCCTCTGCCTCTCACTCTCAGATTGGAGAGGATATCAGTAACCCGTCATGTCTGTGGTCAGCAAGTCTGTCTGTCCTTACCCCTGGCTTGCTTGCCAGCCCCGGCAGGCATTTACAAACACAATTCTTAACCAAAGCAGTGGTCATTTGGCATGTAATTCCCCATATCAGGCAGCAGGGGGCAGTTTACACCCGGTTCTGCTAGCCCACCCTAAACTTCAGAGGTAAAAACAGCCAATCCGGACTGACCCTGCCTGCTTTCAGGCCATATTCTCATCAAAATGTTCCCCTTTGCTTTCAACTCCTTTCTGTCCAAGCAGCTGTGGGGCCATAAAGACAAGTGCAGCAAGCTCCCATTAGCTTTGGTGTGGAGTTTGCTGAAGACAAAACCAAATGGGCGCAAATAATTACATCGCATCTTCCACCTCCTACAGTGACTACAGTAGGCCTCCAATTGGCATCCCAGGCCTGATTCTCTTGCAAAGAAAACCAGCCACGAAGGAAAGACCTGTGACCATGAACAAATCTTGATGGTAAGTGAAATGGAAGCTATTTGAAGTCACATCTGCTGCTTTTCTTCCTGGAACCGGGAATCGCTGCTCCTATCTGCAGGACCCACACCCTATCACTGAAGGTTTTTCACCCACAGAAGCTCTTTAAGCTAAAATACAATAGCAAGAGTAGCACATTGCTTCCCCAGTAGCTACACGCTTCCCCTTCCAAAGAAAACTTGGAAGGCAATGAGATTACGATGATGAGAGAAGACTGCTCAGCTCTGGCACCATTTCAGGGTCTTCCTAAGCCTAAGATGAGAACCAACTAGAACACGGAAAGTCTGGTGGGGTTCACCTCTGGGTTTCCTGGGGGCATCCTGTCATCTTCCTTCTCTCTGGTTTAGAGACCCATACATTAGCTGGCTGTGTTTCTTTTCTTTCTCAGGGACTATCTATAGAATCTAGGATAGATGGGTATGATTTTATCACAGGAGTCCTTGGTTCAGTAATGCTTAAAGTAATAGCAATCACAGAAAGTGTAAGTCAGTTAATTTTTTAATTTAAAAAGCAAGAGTGGAGCATGAGGAAAACACGGTTCATGTTGAATTCAATTTAGAATTTTCTAAAGTTTGGAATCAGTCATTAAATATGACACCTCATTAGGGACTGCTTACCTGAGATGTCAATTGTAATGTGCTGTGGCATCAACTATAACATGCACTTAGTTTATGATAATTGGCTGACCATAATCTTGCAACTCAGAAAAGAAGCCACTTGCATTTGAGGGTGACCTAAGGAAATAAGGAAGTCTTCTCTTTCCCTTCTTATAATCAACCCCAGCCACCCAATGTCACTTAGAGCTCTCTGCCACCTCCTTCATAACCAGGTGGTCTCAAAGGGCTCCCTATTGGTTTCCCACCGTGTGCAGTGGAGGCAGTGAACAGAAGCATGTGTGGAGGCAGGACATGGTGAGGAGACATCTATGCTAAATGGGGGTGTTTATGGTTAAACATCCAAACAGAACTTCAGACGCAGGCAGTTTGGGGGTGGCCACGTGGTTCCTGAAAGGAGTTTGTGGGTAATTATGAATTCAAAGTGAAAAAAGCAGGCTTATTTGAAACTCACCTTGGAAAAACAGTACTTTAAAAAAAGGCAACTTTAAAGGGATCTCATCTATGACAAGAATTTCAGGGGTCATTCTGGTGGAGGTACAAAATAAGTGGCTTGTGTTTTCCCAAGAGGCGGGAAGGGGGCCCTCACGGGGTGAGTGTGGCAGACAACCCACAAACACCTCAACATGGCTTTGGTACTTTGAACTTGGTGCGGCAGATGTGGTTGTTCCAGCGAAGTCGTATTTCACACCATTTTATAGGAAGAATTATATGCTTTGGTGGGACGTATACATTTTGGGATTCAGAAGTTATAAACAGTGAGGGTTTATTGTGCCATCTTACTTAGGGTCTCTTACACCCTTAGAACAATAATAATTCTATTTTTCTTTGCTCTTGATTTGATTCCACATGGGACATTTACATCTAAGAGGAAAATAGCTATTCTGTAAATGAATTTTATCTGATAATAAAAGGCAATTTACAAGACTGAATGGCCAATCACCCTATTTCCAGTTTTCTCTCATATTCAATTTCACTTTTAAGTGCTACATTTTCAGCACATTCCTTCTAAAAGCCTCAGCATGTGGCTTTCATCATGTTATTTCCCATCTCCAGCAGGCCCTCACGATTACTGGACGAGGGCCAGCCTCTTCTGCCATCTACCCAAGCCCCTCCGCAGTCTGGCTGTAACCCATCTTCTAGCTGTTTCTCCCCCTACTCCTCCAAGAGAACATGAGACCTGAGTGGTGTGCTCAGGCTCACCTCAACACACCTTGCGCTTTCTGGCCGCTTTCTCTGCTTTAGCTGCTATGCTCAACCCACCTAAACACCCATTCCTACTGGCCAGCCTCAGCGTGGCATACCATCTGGGACCATCGCCGCAGCTACCAGGACTGAGGCCTGCACTGAACTTGGCTGAAATGCTGCTATGGTTAATTACTCCCCATGTACATTTAATTAGCTTAAGAGCTAAACTGGCAGGAACTGCTATCGCTGTTCTGAGAATGGCAGAATTTGGGGACCTTCACCTCCAGCTCAAGTAAGTCATACAGAATGCTAGACAGAGGTCAACACACTAATTTTTTCTCCAAAAAATACAACATAAAGACATTTTTATTGTTAAACATATACCATACAATGCCTCTTATATTTTTCTGTGGAAATTGATACTGCCAAATGGCCTGGACTGGGTGTTAGTTTCTGTTGACACCCATGTTCACTGACAACCTTGGGGACAAAAAGGAGCCAGCCAACTTGGCCCATGGGCCACCGTCGACTGCATCTCCACCACCACAATTTGGTACAGTATTAGAGTGACAATGGCAATGACTGCACTCTTAAACTTGGAAATGTGGCTTTAACTGTCAGCATCTCCTAGAGTCATTGCTATTCCAAAATGAGGATTTAATGGACTGTTTTGTGCCTGGCAGACTAGAACCTCAGTGGCAACCACTGGAGGGAGAGGTGCTTGCACTTTCAGGTATAACCCTTGCACACCAGCGCTAAGCGCGGGGCTGGCACTGTGTTGAGGTGGGTGTTGCCATCTGTGAGATTGTGGGTGACCTTTGCCCATCTTTAGGCAGCATCTGGCTATGAGTAGGCTGGGTGTTACCGAAGCTTCTGGCACCAAAGTCCTGTCCAAGACAGGGTCAAGGAGCAAAACTGGCAGCTTGGTGGGTGGACTTGCGGCTGTACCCAGAAGTTTGCTTCATGAGCCAGTCCCTGGTCTCAAGCTTTTCTCTGCAGCTGTCACACGTTCACCCTCGCTCATTCACAGAAGTCCTTCCCTCTTCTAAAATGTCAGTTACCTAATTCTTATCAAATATATGGCACCACTACCCTGGTGCTGATAACATTCTCTTTGGTATTCACATAGCAGACTGCTAACCTAGAGCTAAATATAAAGTTAATTTATCCAAATGTAGAAATACTGAGTTCTGTTCATCTTGACTCTGTAAGGCATATTCCTAGGGCGCATATGCACGCACGTGCCATTTAACACAAAGAGTGGAGGTTGACATAAACTGCAGAAGGTGGCTGAGCCAGGTAGAAAGAGCTTGGACTGGAGCCACCATCTACTTTCACTGTCTCCAAGAGTCTGAAGACTCAACCATCACTTTCTCTCTTCTTACACACTAAATTGATTGCATTTTACAACTTATTTGTCCAAATATATGTTGAATGCCTAGTGTATGTTCATTGAGCGTGTGTTTAATATGTCAGAATGAGTACTCATGGAGTTAGTTATGAAGGAGGGACACAAATGTAATTAAGATAAAATTGTTAAGTGCAATTATAGAAAAGTGTGCAAGAGTTTGTGGGAGCCCCATGAATTCACTCAAGGTAGCGGGGAAGAATAAAATCATAGGAAACTTTACCAAGAATCTTGACAAAGAAGGGTTATGCAAAAGGCACTGAGGACATGAACAAACAGAATGATGCTTGCTCGGGTCTGGAAGCCTAAGTAATGAGAAAAATGCTGAAAGCATTTAGCAAACAGAAACTCAGAACAGGGATTGGGAGAAATGAAGGAGTTCAGTTTAGCAAACACTGTCTGAGCTTGATTTTTGTGCCAGTAGGTAGAGCTTGAAGTTATGGCGGCATTGAGATCTCATATGAGAAGCAAAGAAGGTTGAACCCCCACAGGGAGGGCAGAAGAGGAGAAAAACAAGTGACCACATCTTACTGCTCACAGAG